TTAGGTAACTTAATACAACTGATACAACACAATTGTGTGAGAAAATTTGTTTTTCTTTATTTGTTAGTCTCCATATGTAAAGTAACTCAGTATAACCGATACAATATGATTGTACTGAAATAAATTTTCTTAATGATACATTTTTATGCAAGGCTATATTTATATGCGATCTCTATAGTTGTATCAAATTTACCAAAATTTATAACAACACGGATGTACTAAGCAAATTTGCTAGTCTCCAATTATTAATTTCGCTGTTTATGTTAGTACTGCTATTTACTTTATGTTAATACCTTAAAACTTCTGCAAAAATTTTTAGGGGCATTCACATGCATGATGCATACCACCCAATATCTATGTATTTACTTAACTATCACTTAAAACTTGGCTTTTTTATATTATATACCACCCAGAACTTTCAAATCAAAACAACAATATCACCATTTTATAGTTAAAATGTGAAATAGGCAAGTTAGTATGTATGTAAAGATTGAAATTTAGGTGTTGGATATGTAAAAAACATAAGAATTGAGTATTAGGTATGTAAATCTTCCAATTTTTTATGTTTCAGTTAAATTTTTCATTCTCTTGAAATAATGAATTAATTCTAACAGATTATTTACCCTGCATTCATATATCAATTACATGTTGGATTATAACTTGTATAAAGCTTAATACAAATTAGATACTGTCGAATTCAGATTTGTCATGTGAATCACATCTGAAGAATAAAATGTAGAACGAGAGAGAGAGAAAGACAGAAAGAGGAAAAGAGCAAGAGAGTGAGAGAATAGACAATAAATGCAAGAGTTTGGATGTGGCGAATCAGCAAGCCTTTTTATTGTAGATATGACCAACCTATTTATAGATTTTGAGGGCACCCAACGTATAATTGCATGCTTACTCTGTTTTAATAGTGGCATTAAAGGCTATTTTGACACTTTTTTGAATTCATAATTGATTTTGATACTTTTTCTTCTTCATAACTAATTCTGACACCTTTTTTATTTATAACCGCTTGAATATGGGCATCCAATGACTGGAAGTCCTTGTCGCTCTGTCAGATGACGGCTTATGGTTGACTGGAAGGTCGTCAGTAGGCCCTTTTAAGGGAAAATTCCGAGAAGAGGCACTCCTGTTGTCAGAATAAACTGAGCAGTTATGCAGGGGGCGTACCACCTTAATACGATAGACAGTCCTCTTGACAAAGAGCCTTCTCAGAGGGTTAGAGAAGAGTCAGAGAGATGTTTCGTGAGGGGTCATTTGGCCATTCTCTGAGAAGATCCAGAATCGACTTAGAAAATTGTTGGTGAATGACTGCCTCCTGGATTGAGTTCCTTCTATCTTTCGTTCAAATATCCTTCTATTTTGTTGGCTCTGAGTTCCGACCAAAGAAAATGACACTTGATGTTTTTGTCTTTTGACTATCTCAATATAGTGCTCTTTGGTTTGTCGACCATTTGATTTCCTCGAAATTCATGCTAACACATTTTTTATGTACAAATACATTCACATGAAAGATAACTAGCGAAGCAATACTTTGTTTTGTGTAATTAGTTGAATATTATACAAGCTCTATAATATTATAAAGTATGAGCACAAGTATAAAAGAAATATGAAGCTATATTAAAAATTAGGAAAATTTATACACCAAGAACACAATTCTTATGTATTTATATATATCTCACACTCAATTTTTATTTGAAAGTTTTGAATGTTACTTGCAAATTTATGTATGAGTTATTTAAATACATGAGAGTTGTGTGCTAAGTATTTAAACGCCCCTTAAATTAATTAGCTTATATGATCGTTATTTGTAGATTTTAATTTAGTAAGAGTTTACAAATTTTAATATTTAACATTATTTTTTGGAAAAAAATCATTTATTTTGTCATGATTTTAATTGTGTAGAAATTTTACATCATCATCAACAACAAAGCCTTAATCCCACTACGTGGGGTCGGCTACATGAATCATTTTTCTTCGTTGCGTCCTATTTAGTGTCATATTTTCATTTAGTTCTAGTAAATTAAGATCATTTTTTATACGATAAGCCCAAGTCTTCCTAGGTCTACCTCTGTCTTTCTTAACACAAGTCGAATCTAAAGCATCTACTCTCCTAATCGGATCATCAGATGGTCGGCGTTTAATGTTACCAAACCATCTAAGACGACTTTATCTAATTTTGTCTCTAAGTGTAAAGCCACTTATCCACCTAATCATTCTCATCTCCGCAACACTCAACTTATTATTATGCTTCTCTTTTAAAGGCCAACATTCAACGCTATAGAGCATTGCAGGTCTCACCACAGTCTTATAAAATTTTCCTTTCAGTCTAAGCGGTACTTTTCTATCACACAAAAAGCCTCATGCACTCTTCCACTTCAACCAACCAAATTGAATTCTTCTATTAACATCCCCATCTATATCACCATCGCTTTGAACAACAAACACAAGATATCTAAATCGTTCACACCTTTTAATAATTTGATCACCCAAAATCACACTTCTGTCACTAGAGCTACTACTACTAAACTTACATTCCATGTATTAAGTTTTAAATCTACTTAAATGAAGGCCTTTAGACGCCAATGTAGATCTCCATATTTCAAGTTCTATCAAAAAGAAAAAAATCAAAGTTATCCAAATGTTATTTTGTGCCCTAATTTTTAAACTTTTATGGGCTTATAAGCAATAATGGTCTCTAACTATAACAAGTTACAGAAGTAAACAAAAAAAAATTTCTACTGAGGATTGGTGAAATCTTAGCAAGCAGTGATGCAGTGTGTGCTATATACTTAATTTACAAAAATTCTTATTGCATAGCCATTTGAACCTTGGAATTGGAAGAAAAGACACAAAACCAAGGTGACAGTGGCATAATGCTATTTTAAAATTACAAAAAAAAACAATTATCTTAGAATTAATTTATCGATACATCATATTTTTAAACAAATGTATCTAATTAAGTATTTTATATTCTTGATGAAAAAGATAAATCAAAGCATACCTAGTGTCATAGTATTATTCCTTAGGGAACATAAGAAGTTTACAGACTCATAACAAACAATATATCTGACAAAAAACAATGCCATATTGCCCATAACAGCAGAGAGAGCTGGGATGTTTCTCCAGTAGTTCTGTAAACACAATATACCGCAAAACTGGTTAAAAGCGGACAATTAAGTATTTTCAAAATCATACAACTTGTTGATTTAAAGTGACCAGCTTAAATGTGAAGATGCCCAAAGGAAAAAAAAGTTTATCTGTTGACTCCTAATTTATGTGTGAATCACATCCCAAGGAATAAAACTTAAGAAAATAGATGATAGAGAGAGAAACGAGTACTAATGAACAGTGATACGTGATGTCATCTTTATTCACGAAATGATCACTCTCTTTATAGGAAAGAGGGTACAATATGATCATATTATATTTTTGTCTTTGCTTTAACAAGGGTTGTATAGAATATTCTAAGAATTTTACATATATCAGTCTATTGCTCTGCATTCTCTGGCTTGCTGGGCTGAGCTTGATGGGTTTTGATTCTGCAAGGCTGGCTCGATCAGCCAAGCTTAGTTGGAGTTTGTCGGCCGACTGACTTGGATTGACTTTAGGTCGAGAGTACCGGTTCGGTTGGCTACACTTGGTCAGCGTTACCAATTAGCTGATCTTGTCTAGCTGTCAACCCTTGATCCCTATTGAGAAACTCTTGTCAATAGGGCAATGCTAGACAATCAAGTGGATAGTGAATCAACAATACCTGATAGTTAACTTGCTCTTTAAAGAAAAAAGTTTGAGGGAAGATCATACAACTCTTTATTGCATTGTTAATTGTTGATTCTCGATGAGAAGCCTTGAGGTTGTCCGTGAGATGGTTGATAATATTTAGGAACCAAAATCTTTCCTAAAATCATATTTACCGGAAGGTATGTTCTACCCTTTAGTTAGTTTTATTGTACTGGTTGGCTCGGATGTCTATTTGTCTTGTTTCAGTTCGAATGAATCGATCTTAAGTCACTTGGTCATTTTTCAAGACTCGGTTGGCTTTGGCCTTGCTTGTTTTGGCTCGGACGGCTGTGTGCGGTCGGGTAAGAGGGCCTCTTGGTCTTCTAATAACAGACTTTCATTCGTCATACTTTTCTTTTTTAGGACTGTTAGATCTCCTCCGGATCAATACTAACACATTTTTGATATACATTATCTAGTTTTGATTGAAAATAAAATAAGAAAAAAGTAAAACACTGCAATTAAATTATGCAGCTCAATCTGAAATCCAGAAACTTTAAACATATCCTAGTTCGCTGAATACTATAATCTTAAGATCAAAATGAAAACGGGAGGTAGGAGGAGGCAGAAGCATCTCCATGGCCAAGCAAGCAACAAGATCTGAAATTGATCTGTTATCTTCTTCTGGCCCAGACTGATCGTTTAAGCCACTCTGTTCTGAATGAAAAATCTCCATTTTTTAACACATGCTAATGCAGTCAACGCACCAGGTGACCATTAAACAGCATAAAATCCACAGCTGGTAACTGGCACGAGTAGCCAACATCAGTACGAGGTTAGGATCATAAGAACAAAGCTGTTTGGTGGTCATGATGTCGTCTGTAACAGTAATAGACTTGAAAGGATGGTCGGAGAAGACTATCCAGTATATCATGAATAAATGCTATTAAAGGTGATTTTCATTTGTGTCAAAAGTTTCCATCATAATTTTTATTTAATTTTATTATATTCATATGGCAGTAGATCTTTTTCAAATAGAAGATAACAAAAATATAAAATTTTGTGATGCATGATAAATTTAATTTTGAGATGCTATTAAACCATAGTCCATACTTTTATTCAGAAGCTTTCTCAGGCCATTAACTCCCAACAAAATTTGATTAAATGTGCCACAATTTTTCTGATGGTTATTCTGAGTAATGCATTTGTAGACTTTAATTCATTATTATGAAATAATAATAATAATAATAATAATAAAGCACTAAAACCAAAAACATGGAATTAAAATTCAAATTCAAGAGACGAATTACAATCCCATTGCCCACACTTATTTCACCACCTTCAACATCCACACTAACCCTATTCATTCTTCTTCCCCACACAACCTAAGAGATAGAATTCCTCCATCTCCTCGTTCCCTTCCTTCCCGCCGCCCCTTCCCCACCCACACCTCCACTGGCCGCAGCATCCGCAGCAAACTGTTCCTGCCCTTCCCCCCCTCCCATCTTAGTCAGCCTACTCAATTTCTTCCACCCACTAGTCCACCCCGACGTCCCGGCCGCTGATCCATGCTTCCCCAGCTTCGTCGTCACCGCCGCCGTAACCGTCATCTTATCAAACTGCCTCTGCAACCCATCCATCTCATTCTGTAGCTTGGCATACTTGGTCTTCATGCTCTCGAGCTCAAACTTGAGCATATTGATATCCTTTTTCGCAGCGGCCCAGCCTTCCTGGAAGGATTGAGGAGTGCTTTCGATGAGCTGCTTGCGAGTGGGGATGATGGGCTGGTAATGGTGGCCGGCGGCGGTTGGGGGCGGCGGTGGAGGAATCTTTGAGGGTAGAGTTAGCGATGGCGTTGCTGATTTTGACTTGCTCGGAGAAGAGGACTTGGACGACGATGCGGAGGGGAAGGCGTTCGTTCTGAGCGGCGTGCATGCAGGCGTCGATGGAGAGCTTTTGGCAGTCCATTACGCGGCAGAGGCGTTTGCGTTCGTGTTCGGTGAGGGCGGGGTGAGCCTGTTTTCAAACGGCTCCATTTTTAAAAAATTGTTGGGGTGGGTTGGGGATGTGAATCTATGGCAGAAATGTAAAAATGGAAAACATTTTTTGCTCTCTCCCTCTCTCTTTCATGAAATTTCAATCATAAGTTTAGTAATGAAACAAATTATCAAATTTTAACCAAATTTAGTTGTTATGTGGAACAATTTTTATCTGTTACTTAAAATTTTCTCTGCATTTCATTTTTTAAGGTCAAAATGCTGGTGTTTTTATGTGATATGAGAAATTTAAGCGGTATAAATGTAAAAATGCAGAAATTTTGAGGTCACATAAATAAAAATATATGAAATAGGTTAAATCTATGTATGCAAATGCCCATAAATACTATTTTATAATGATTTAAGTTAAATCCTCCTTAAGGAGCTGTCTGATAACAGATTTAAGGGTAGGGGCAGATTTATGCAACACTTAAGTGGAATCCACGTAAATTCGGATTCCACGAATTTTCTCTATAAATTTAATTTCATGGGCTTAAAATTTAAGGTCCGTTTGGGGCAACTTGTGCATTTCAAGATAAACAACTTATCCTGAAATGCGGCCCGCAGATCGACTGCAGGGGTCGACCCGCGGCTTGCGTAGTGTAAAAACTCAAACGCGCGATTTCGGATAAGCTGGTGAAACGCGCGAACCAAACAGTACGGCGGCGCACTCATAAGCTGCCCCAAACAGACCCTTAACTTCAGGGGCTTCCAAGTGTTGTCTAGCGGGGGTTGCTTCATCTTATTACACTCTAACAATCATAACTATTTTTTCAATCTTGATAGAATTTGTCAAATAGCTTTATTAGATTTATAAGATTTAGTAAATCTGTTGCTAGACAGTTTTTCAGATTTAAACCCTTAAGATATAGTAAATCTGAATTTAAGGGACTAACTGAATCCTAATAACTTAAATCTTAACTTTTGCCAGAGAGCCCCTAAATTGAGAAAATAATATGTCAGAGTTCGTATGCTTCTCTGCTTTTTAGACAATAACATGGTCAAATTTTCACTGGAATCCTCAGGTCAAGAGAACTCTGGACATAATATTTTCTCCCCTAAATCTTACCAAAACCAGGGGAAAAAAAAAACAATCAAACAAAAACGATGAGAGAAAAGAAGCTAACTTTACCTTGAGGTAAGAATCAACAGCTCTGTAAAGGCCATCATCACAAGACCTCGCAGAATCCGGCAACGCTTCCGCTAAAACCTGAAACTTGGTGAGCGACAGATTCCGATCTCTCGACACCTCCGTCAGGTAACTATCAATCAATCTAGCCACCCTCATCTTCGCATTTGTTCCATGTTTTCCGGCCGGCGAACTCTCCCCTTCCGCGGTCTGTTCCTGCACCACAAAATGCTCCACCAATCTCTGCACCAAATCCACATCAAGCATCGTATCGCTCCTGCTGTAATACGCAGGGATCATTAAATCGCTTAAGCTCGCTTGCTCCAACTGCATCCCCACCCTCTTCTCCAGCTCCGTCACCAATGCCGGAGCTACTTTCAGCAGGCTCGCTTGGCGTAAGAGTCGCAAGAGGAAGCCGCAGGTTACGCTGTCTCTTTGGGGCGGTATGATGCTTATGAGGCTTTCAACGACCATCCTCTGTTCTCTTGCGGCGGATCCCGTCCACTCTGTTTCCCTGATGGCGGTGGTGGTGGGGCCGGTGCCGGCGGCGACTATCATGTGGAGTCCGCCGGTGGCGGAGGTGGCGGCGGCGGTGGCGGTGGAGGAGTAGTCTTCGTTGGGGTTGTCTTTCACTAGACCGGGAAGCCATTTTGCAGCGTATTGCATGATGGAGGCGCCGATTAGCTCGTGTCGCATGCCCTTTACCTGTTGGAGGTTATTGCAGTTCAATGGGATGAGCAAGAAGATAGATTATATGATATTTTTTGACATTAAATTTTAAGTCAAATTATATTTTGGATCTTATTTTATTTTATTTTTTGGCTGGCTCATATAAATTGGCAATGGAAGAGAAGTATAATTAGTGTGATGCTCAATTGCCGCGCCACTATCTAATCCTAAACTCATAAGTGGAGTTGATATTCAATATGTAGCTTCTGTTTGAGGGCAGTTGCAGTTTAGTAAAAAGTAGTTATAAAGCTACTGAATAATAATCTGATGCTCAAAAAATTATTGCAGCTAGCTATCACCGCACGTAGGAAGCAGTGGTGTAAAAACACAGATTTCTGTGGCAATTTTTTCACAAACACAGTTTATCCAAACAGACAAAACTGCGGTGCAATGCCGCACTACCACCGCACCACCGCCTTAAAAGGACCGATAATCTCCTAGAATTAACAAAGAATTTTGTCTCACATTATATTGAATTTTAATAGCAAATGCTCACCATTCTTTAAAATGTATGTTAAATTTTTTACCCAAATTTTGTGGGTCTTACTCTCCTTAGTAGGAAATCATGAGCATACAAATTAAATATGTATCGTTAGATAAATTTTAATAGTTTTTATGTTGCAATTCGTGTAATCTCATCTTATTTAACCCTTCTTGAATATTTTTTTCTTAAGAGTTTTTGAAGAAATATATAAATATCTTGTTTACTTGAACAAAAAATAACATTTTCAAGGAATGTAAATGGCTAAGTAGCTGTTTAGGATTAATGAGTTATAAACCTGGTATAAGCTAAGAGCTGCTGTCAAGCATATGCAGCAGTTCACTTCAGAGACTTTGAAGAGAAAATGAAGGACCATAATGGCTTACCATGAAGGAAAATGAAGAAGACGACTACTCAATGGTTTGCAAAGAAGATTGGGGATTCACGGGAATTATTTTTATCTTCCTCTTTGTTGTGTACATTAAAAATCCAAAAGCTTCTCCATCTTAATTTGGGGGGAACTTTATGTTTGTTTTCAAGTAAAGTAATCATGTTGGGTGTGAAAATATTTATATTTAAGTTTTGAATCATCATGAGTATGAGTAATTATTAGATGATTTTTTTCTTTTGGAAAATTTATGAATATAGTTGAATGTACATTGAGATTTAGTAAGCTTAGTGTTATTTCCCAAAAGAGCTCTTAGGGATGGTGGGCAGCCCGTGACTTAAATACTGCTTTTCGGTCATACACCTAGCTGATGTGAGGCTTTTTCTCCGTGACATTCTCCTCCATCCAATGACGTGGCGCCCTCGTCACGGATCGACTCCACTGAGGTCCCACTGGACCATGGAGAGTCTACACACCTGATAGACAATAATATGCTCTCATATCACTTGTCACCTCCCAAAAGAGCTCTTCAGAGTGAAGGGAAGTCCAAGACTTAAATACTGTTTTTCGGCCCTACGCCTAGCCGATGTGAGATTTTTTGTCTGTAACATTAGGTTATATAAGTTTATTATAATTTTAATAAAAAATCAATATTTTGTATTACTTGTTGAAGTGAAGATGAGATGTTATGAGAATTGAACCTAACATGGGGTATGAATCGTTTCATTAAATGAAATATTGAGAATTTTCTTGAGAAATTACATTCAATGTAAGAAATTAACTTTCTAATAAACCCAAACTCCTCACAAATTTAAGTTTATTTACAACCAGTGGCCATTTCATATCAAAGGAATGAACCCATTCAATCATTTCCTTCTAGCAAGTGGTCAATAATGATTAATCCTTAATCATGACTTAAACCCTAATAATGGCAATCATCATCAATGGCAATCCACAATTCATGAACAGGGAAGTGAAAAAATTCTTCCAAAGCCAAAAAATCAGAATATACTAACAAACTAGTTGTAAGTATCTCCAAGGAAAATATTTCACCACCAAAGATAAATGGCTAAAAATGCTATCTTTATCAAGGCTCTACAAACTACACATATTCCCACTATGTTCTCTTACCTCTCCTACTTTATTTATTTCTTAATAAAATATTAATTATCATAAAAGGATAATTTTGAATTAATAAACCCCTATAAAATAAGCCTATTATTTTGGGGCAAAAATGCAAAATAGTGTAAATCTTAGTTTAGGGAATAAGAACAAACATCACCTTGATGGCTGTCACCACCCGCACGAAGTGATCGATCCGAAGGATAGACACGTCCTCAAACCACCAGTCCGCCGGCACCGGCGAATCCCCCGCCGGCGGCCGCCCACTTCGGACTATTTGTGCGCGATGGCCGACCGCCGTACGCCCACCTTATTCCCCTCGGATTCGCGCACGCCTTCCACGCAATCGACTCACTGCACCGCCGCACGATCTGCAGGTTCTCCGCCCATGGAGAAAGCCCCTCGCAGCTCTTCAGCACCACGATGGAGTCCCGCCATGAAGACAGCACCACGTAACTCAGAAAAGCTTCCGTTTTGAATATGAGATTCCCTTCCTCCAGATCCTCCGTCATTTCAAGGTACTCCGCCGCACACCGGAGGCCGGCGATGTTCGCCGCTGTGAGATCCACCGCGATCCCGTAGCAGAACTTCGCCGCTAGCTCAAAGGCCTCGTAGCCGCCGGGGAGGTCGTTGAGCTCCACCACAACGTTCGGCTCCAGTTCCCGTGAGGTCTCGTAGATTATCCTGTTCATTTTGCCGCTTCTCGAGAGCAGAGGATACTTCAAAAATTAAAAAAAAAAAGGAATTTTGAGCAGCGGAAGTAATTATTTATTGGCGAAAAGAAAGAAAAGGGAGCAAAGAAACAAACTTTATGAAGATGGAATGTTAATTCGCCAACTTTGACTATAAGATCGCTGGGAATGTCACTGGAGACGTACCTGCAGCTCAATATCAGAAGAGATCAGAGCCAATTAAAGTTATTGTTGTTTCAGAGTTTAAAAGAGACAGTTTTGAAAAAAAAAAAAAAAAATTACCATGATTGATCTCTGCGAATGAAGCCATCAGGCTTAAGGCCGTCCTGCTTGTCGGCTTCGACTTCAGGGACGAGGTTCCTATCTCTCACTCCGCCATACGTCTCGCTCTCAGACTCCCACATGACGAGAGCTTTCTCTCCTTTCTTCTTTGAGAACTGAATACGAGATGGACTAAGAAGACGAAGATAATCAAGTAGAAGAAACAAACATAAACAGAGAGATTTAGTTTCAGTTCTTCAAACTGAGATAAAGAAGCATAGGAACGCAAAGCCAGGAGTAACAGAATGAAAACGGTAGACACAACAACGCAGAAAGTAGCCAAAAATGGAGAAACAGAGTACTCTGAAATCAAAAATGAAGGATTTCATACAGCAGCTTGGCTCTAGCGCAGGGAACTAACTGCTGCAAGAAATGAAGCACATAACAGCACAAAACATCAAAGATCTAAGCCGTAAAGCGGCAGAAAGTGGAATTCAGAGAAAAGAGATGGGTGAAAAGATTCAGATATCTGGGTTACAATGAAAGGGTACTCAGGTGTGGCGATCAAGAAAAAAAATCACATGGGTTGTTTGGAGCTATCTGGGACTCTCCTTCTCTCTGTCTGCCATAGTTTTACAGGCTGTGAGGTTATGGGCTTCCCAAAAATCCCACACCTTTCAGCTCAGTTTCAATGCATTGAAACTCTGGTTCCAAGAGAAAGCTATAAATTTGCCTAGACATTGCTGTTTGTTTCTTCACTTGAGGACTAAAGAATTAATTAATTATACTGTGCGGCCATGCCCCACAAACAGTAATACCCATCTTGCTCTGTTTTGGGGTTTTGGGTAATTATGGAGGGCATGATTGAGAAAATTTAACGAATTTTATGTGGCAAAGTGCCTAGAGAATTATGTGGCCATCTAAGTTTGGGAATCATCTTGACAATTCTCGAAAGCTCTATTCAAATGTAATAAAGTAGTTTTTGGGAGGTTAAAAGTGTCATAAAGTGACAAATAGTGTAATTTGAAAGTTCTCAAGGGCGTTTTTTGCATTATTGTAGCTTCTAATTAATGATTATTTTCATGTTTTTTTGTATTAAATTTTTGTTAAAATAAGTTTGATGCAAATCCTTATTGATATAAAGTTGCTCGTGATATTTATTGCTCTTGGATGTTGACATGTTTATACCTAGAAGTAAAATAAGGAATATGATAGAATGTATGACTGTTGTATTTTGGAATATCATGATAGTGAAAGAAGAATTTACTATACTAAATTTAGTTGCATGTTTTGAGTAGAACATAAAGAAAAAGACAAAAAAAAAAAAAAAAAAAATTGAAACCCAAAAAAATGGGAAAAAAATAATGGGATTTGAGTATTAGAAATAGTTTTACATTTATAAATTTGGATTATATGGGATTGCTCGTTTGTTGAAAAATCCATCATCGTCTTATTTTAGATTTTAGAAATTTATTATGTTTGTCCAACATTGAAAATTGCCAAAAGAAGTATATATGAGATGAATTTACATTGCTTAGATATTTCATAATTAAAAAAAAATCAAAGTGTTTTCTTTTGTTTATAAAAAATTATTGAAATGAAGACAATACAAGAATCATCGTGTTATGGGAATGTCATATACAATTTTGTAAGTAGACTGAGTTAATAAGTTCTGAGAGGCCTTCTCTCTTAATGAATCCATCTTTTCTTACATTAATCTAATCAAACTACTGCAACATACTTTTGTTGACCACACAAGCCTAGGGATAATTCTAGATTGGCATGGGTTTTAACCAAGTCATGGTCAACATAGGGGTCTTGATCAACTTAGAAAAAAGTCATTTTGAATCATCAATATGTGATGCTTAATAAATCACCTACTTAATCAATCCTTCCAATATGGGTTGCATTTGGTTTAGGCTGATTGAGCTTTAGCTTGATTAAGTCTTATTAGCCTCTACTGGGTTCATGGTCATAAAAACATATGAGCTAATGGTCATGTTTAAGCTAGCATTGCCATGTGTTGATCAAGTTTCTCTTGAGATGACTAAGCCTAGGATTAGCTAGGTTAGGTTAAGCTGACTTAAATGAGGCATGTGGACCTAATAAATTCAAGGCTCCTTGTAGATTCTCAACTATGTTAATGATTCTTATGTCTTAATAGGTTGACCTAATTTGACCAAACTGATCCATAATGGTTAAAAATGATCTATGTTGATTGGCTGGTTCATGAGAAAATATGTGACATCCATGTTTGCACTAAAATTTATTATGGTTGAGTTAACATGTATTAGTCATTGAAGTTAATCATAAGGTTCTTTATATGCTCGAATGGCCAAAGGATGGTAATAAAGTAAGGTTTATTTAATATGGGAATCAAATAATTGAATGAGCATAAGGTGATAAAGTTAACCTTAAAAATATGCATAAGTTGTACTCTAATAAATCTTGATAACAGTACTTGTTAATAAAACTAAACTTATCCTAATGCCTAATATAGGGCTCATAAATTAGTAATTGACATTTTGTTTTGAATTTAACTTATAAGACTCAATACTATGATAGAAATCGATAGAGATAAACAAAAATGAGGCCATGAATGGTATGAAGACAATCATTTTAACAATCATTTTTATGTTGTATATATATATATATATATATATATATATATTCGAATTAAAATATTAGCTAATGACTTGAAAGACATTAATCAATGTGATTAATATCCATGAAGAAGCAAGACATCATTTTAATGTTGGATTGGCTACGTGAGCTTCATTTCAATGTCCATATTTGAATATTGAATAGTATCTGCCCAATGAATTTATTATATTATATTTTATAATGTTTCTCTGTTGTATTTTATTTTATTTTATATAAATGTGACGGTGGATAAATTATTCTTGATATGTCATCAATAAATTCCATCATTAAATATTCTTTGGGCTAGGTATATTTAAACACAAATTAAAAATTAACAAGAACTCCTATTTCAACAAACTTGCTGTCAAACTATCTACTTGATGTAACGGACTCAATAACATTATAATTAACTCAATTTGAGTCAAATCAAGCTTGAATACAACAATTAAACACATTTGAAAGGTTTTTGTGATTAATTGGAGAGTTAAATGGATTATAAATTTGACAAGCTTATAGTCAAACTGAGCATCTCGATAAGAAAAATCTAACTAGTCCAAGATCATTCAATATTGACAATATTGAGGCACATGAGTGTCCATAAAATGTAATCTGATAAAGGAATCACTCTATGCCATCTAATAGAGTGGTCCAGATTATTTCCTTATTTACATGATATGTCTTGTTCCTTTCGTGAGGGGGGACCCAACCTTGGAGATAGAAGAAGAGAATGAGTAGAATCCGAAAGTCGTTTTGGATTCGAAGAACCAATGATAACCTTCATTCCTCATAGCTGCCGACCAACGTCGACCACCACTCTCCGGCGCCATCAACCACCATTGGCTACCTTCTCATTGTCGCTACTAGTGAACCTTGTGGAGTGACAACATACTTTGTAACAAAGCATCACGCAAAGTAACAACATATTTTGGGAAGTAAAGAAGCATCTACCAAGCAACGTGGTGTCCTGAATACCATGTGACAACATCCCTTGAACACAATGCTCAAAAGTTCTGTTGATAACCTCCAGTATCAACTGCTCCAGACATTTTTCAACAAAATCTTCTATGTACAAACATTATACTCGAGGGAAATTTGTAACCTTTTCCTGGTTGTGAGATAAAGGCTTATATTTGTACTAGCAAACCCTGAGTGAATTATTCTAACTAGGCTAGACCTCATTATTTTTATCCTTCAGGATTTTTCACATAAAAATTTTTTGTGTTTCTTTTTGTTATTTCTATTTCATTTGTGTGTGTTGGATTTTCATGCACACGAGATATTAAATAATCACTTTAACATTGTGAATCTTTTGGAATGCAACGAAGCTTATTTTGATCGTCATAATTCAATATAATGCCATTCAATTTAGATGTATTTACATGTCTAACATCTAACCTTTACTTTTTACATCTATACCATTCAAATCTTTTATTTTACATTAAAAAATAACACTACTTTAACTTTTAAAAAGTGAAATAGACGGTGGTAGAGTGATATTTAACTCTTGTTGTTGTATGAAGATCCAACACATACACAGATAAAAAAAAATTAGTTTGAGGAGCCACCAAGATTTTCTATGCAGAAAAACCCAATAACAAAAAAAACCATAGGGTCTAACATAGTGAAAATAATCCACTATGGGTCAGTAAGTGCAAGTGTGTGTCATTCTCTCACAAAATAGAGAGAAATGAGACTATATTCTTAAACTAAAAATTATACTTATATTCATATCGCACAGAGAAAATGTAAGTGGTCGTCAACGACAACATGTAATGATAACCGGTTGTGATCAACAGTGGCCTATAGGTGATGGTCAAAAATGGTCGGCGTCTATGGAGGCTAGCGTTTATTAATTGGGTCTTCAATATATGTGTTAGAATAAAACGATTGTATTTGAACTACAGCGATTGCAGGCAATGGTCGAGAGCAGTAGGTGGTGACGGTCAAAGGAGGTTGCAAGCTAATTAGGCTTGTGGTTCTCATCTAGCTTTCTCTCCGGAACAAGCTTTGGAATTTCTCATCTTCTTCTACTTCTCTTCTTCTCCTCCCCCTCTAAGTGAAGAGAGTGGGTCTATTTATGGGCTTTTGGGGATAGGCATTTTGGCCTTTTGGGGATAGACATTTTGGCCTTTTGACATGTAACTTCTGGATCTATCTAATCAAACGGTTCATGTTTCTGATCATCTTTGATCATAAATGCTATTTTAATGACATTGGAATTGAGCGATCTTAGGCTCATTGGATTCCTTTCGTCGAGACGCTCTTTTTCACCATAAGTATATCAAATTTGAAATTCATTTAATTATTTAACTGAAAATACAAACCATCTAAATATGCTTCAATGACTTGATTTAGGATTGCCCTCGAATTGAACCAATTGTGGTATCATTGTCGTTTGTTTTGTTTAGACGGTCAATTTAGCTATAAACTTACTGAACTCGGTGTCAAATAACCTTATATTGAAATTTAGGGATCCTTTATAATATATATATATATA